ATAAGGTTATAATTTTTAGTGATACCTGAAATCAGAAGAGATGAGCATATACAGAGAAATCATGTGAACTACACACTGCAGGTTCTGTGGCAAAATATTGTTAATTGAAATTACTTAGGTCCCAAAGGAGTTGGTTGGTGTGGTTTTGAAACATGTAATATTTGAATAAATACAAGAATGGTATCATTTCTTACAATAAGGTAGTAGAGAATGTGAGATTACAATTTTTAGCATATACCTAAAATTAGAAAAGATGAAAATATTCAGAGAAATTATATGAGCTACATGCTTGACCTTCTATGGTATAATGTTGTCATCTGATCAAGTTGGATGCTTTACTAAGGAACTACTAGAGTTTAAAACTAGATTTAAAGTAGCGTTCAAACTTCATAGGTTCTCAAATATAAATACCACATGTTTATTATTGAATTGTGGTATTAAAAATGCACACACTTAATTTTCTGTATTAGAATGCAAAAACTTAGTCAAGAATTAGTGGGTAAAGAAAGAATTGAGTAGGAGAAACTGAAGGGAAGAATTTCTTAAAGATTCCATATTTTAAGTCATGGGCCAAAGTCCTCTGTCCCACACTGATCTCTGTGTGTTCCATCGTCACCTTGTCCCTGTCCTCCAGCAGGGTCTTCAACAACATGGAGCCAGAAAATCTAACACGGGTTGCAGAATTCCTCCTCCTGGGACTTTCAGAGGACCCAGAGCTGCAGCCTGTCCTCTTTGGCCTGCTACTGTCCATGTACCTGGTGACAGTGCTTGGGAACCTGCTCATCATCCTGGCCGTCAGCTCTGACTCCCACCTCCACACCCCCATGTACTTCTTCCTCTCCAACCTGGCCCTCACTGACATCTGTAGTACCTCTACCTTAGTCCCTAAGATGCTGCTGAACATCCAGACAGAAAGCAAAGCCATCTCCTATGCAGGCTGCCTCACTCAGGCATATTTTTTCATGGTTTTTCTATGCATGGACAACTTACTGCTGACCGTGATGGCCTATGATCGCTACGTGGCCATCTGCCACCCCTTGCATTACATGGTCATCATGAACCCCCGCCTCTGTGTCCTGTTGGTCCTGATCTGTCTGCTCGTCAGCACTGTGGATGCCCTGGTGCACGCTCTAATGTTGCTGCGTCTGTCTTTCTGCAAACACCTGGAGATCCCCCACTTCTTCTGTGATCTGACTCAGATCCTCAAGGTAGCCTGTTCTAATACCCTCGTCAACAACACTATTTTATTGTTAGCAACCATCCTCTTGGGTTTTGGTCCTGTCTCTGGGATAATTTTCTCATATGCTCAAATTGTCTCCTCCATCCTGAGAATCCCGTCCACTGGTGGAAAGTATAAAGCTTTTTCTACCTGTGGGACTCACCTGTCTGTGGTTTCCCTGTTCTATGGGGCTTCTATTTGGGTTTACCTGAGTTCTGCTGTGACTGATTCTCCCAGAATGAGTGCCATGGCCTCG